GAACCCTGTTCTATCTTTTTTTATTAAAACTAATAAAATTTAATAATTAAAAAAATGATTATATCAGATTACAAAGTGAAGAATGATTACATAATAGAGAGATTTATGGCCTAGTGAAGGTGACATATATTTCAAACTCAACAATAAAGGCTCACAAGCATCTTCAAGTATCATTTAGTGGGCAATTATATTGTTATTACATTTGAGACTAATTGGCGGGCTATTTTCAGAAAAAATTATGTATAAGGCTGGGTTCTCTAGAAAATCAAAACCAATGAATACAGAAGGTAGACAGATAGGTTGGTAGGTAAACTCATAATGACCCGCCTCCGTCAGGTTTCTGAGATGGCCTTTGGGTTAGCAGGACAACTCCTGAGCTCCTCCAGGCAGGCACGTAGAGAAATAGGTTAAAAAGAGATAAATCTAAAGGAACTGATTCACAAGCTTATGTTGTTGCTGTAATGTACTACTGAGTCAGAACCAGCTCATAGCTGACCTTCCAGTGGGAGGCAGCTAATCACCCAGGAAGAGAATGCTCACCCTCTCTCTAAGAGCAGCTGGAGGTTTTGAACCGAGTGCTGTTGAACTGACAACACACCACCTTACAATTAGGCCCCAATAGCTCCCCCGAAAGCTTATAGAGGCTGGCGAATCTCAAGTCCATGGCATGAACTTCAAAGGCTGACAAATCCAAGGCCAGCAGGCAAGGCAAACTACTGGCTCAAATGCAAAGACCAAAGGCATAGGGCCAAGTCAGATGCAGCAAGATGAACTACCTGGCAACATGTCAGCCAGTTAATTGTAGCCCAGCAGAGAGAAATCCATCACCTACCTCACCTAAGTTTAAAATGAACCCTGCTCTATCTTGAGCCAATATCATCGTCTTGGACACACCAACCCCCATCACTCCAGTCACTGAGTCAATCCATCTCATCAAGAGTCTTCCTCTCTTGCATTGTCCCACCACACTTCCAAGCATGATATCCCTCTCTAAAGCCTGATTCCTCCTTAAACATGCCCAAAGTACGTCAGATGGAGCTTCAAAATCCTTGCCTCCAAGGAGCAGCCTGGTTTCACCCTCTCCAGGTTCCAAACAGATAATTTGATTTCTTTTTCAAATGGATGACTTGAACTCTAGAGATTCTAACAGTAACAGTAGGTGAGATTCGTCTTATTCCTTACTTAATGCATATAGCTCTTGTACAACACACTGAACTGAATGGCCACCTAAGTCGACTTAAAAGCCCCACTGTTTATGGCATTGAAGTCTATGGGGAAGAAAATAGTTTAAAAGTATTATATTTTAGGGCATTAT